GTGGGGATTCGTTGCGCTGACCACACGATACCCTCTATCCGCTAAAGTTGGTACTAACTTCGCCGACAAGCGGCGGTCGCTCCATCGGTAGAGTTCGCTTGCGGATTAGAACCGCGATGTTCCACTAAATTGTTATTAGTATTAAGCGACTTCAGCCATCTCCAAGTGCTTTCGAAAATGATTGTTGACTGGTCGGTAAACTTCACCTATGTTTCTGAGACCATTGTTGTGTGCTGAATAAAGAAATTAAAAGTAAACATAACGTGACAATTCTTTAATTATCTGGAAAATAGCAACGCGTACAGGGAAACGGTATTTACGCATAATTCATGTGTTTCATTTCTTCCTACATCTTGTGTCCCAAACAGTCTTAATGTAAATTATTCATTATTTTGTAAGATTTGAGGTTTTCACGGTGGTGACTATGAAGTAAGCAGTCTTCTGGGATGTGGCACCGTGTAGATGTGGTGTTAACCGACGTTTCGGAGGAACGTATCGCCTCTATCTTCAGGGCAGAAGGAAAAATAAGAAAATCACCAAGCGAAGAGACCGTGAGGACTGGTACAAGCACCCTGAAGATGGAGGCGATACGTTCCCCCGAAACGTCTGTTAACACCACATCTACACAGTGCCACATCCCAGAAGACGGCTTTCTTCATATTCATTGTTTTCTCTGATTTGACGCAAGAGCAGAGCGTGCCGACAATTTTAATTAAAATTCCCCAAATCAAGGACCCCGAATTCTTTCATTGACGGACGGACGAAGGAAATTTAATAGACAACCCGCAGGGTTGCGACCTCGTCTGAAATGGAAAAAAGTAAACGAGTGGTTTAATTTGACACACAGCTGTTGTAATAAAAATTGCTAACACGAAGATTGGCTGTACGGACTACGCGTGAGAGGATGTTCTCAGAGAAGGAACAGTGGCGAATAATCCAAACGGATGGAACAGAAACAGGAATGAGAACATTATAATAACATATAATACCCATGAATATAGTGGAACGATTAATGAGTAGCAAATTCACTTCCTATGTGAAGGATTCTGGTTAAGGTGTGCACAAGGTAAATTGTCCTGAGAGTTTCGTAGATCCTGTTTAAGTGGAAGACAAGATGGACCATAGTGAGACTAACTTCTAACAGATAACAGCTTCGTTTTGTACGCTCTGTGGAGTTTGAACGACCAACATGTCTTATAAGCAGTAAGTAATTATACCCCTCTTGCCAACTAGTTGCGATGTTATGGTTGTTACATATAATTCTTTCCTTGGAATGTACCGTAATTAGCCCTAAAGGAAAAGTATAGATTAAGGGTATTTGAGAAGAGATTGCTGAGAAGAATATTTGCACCTAAGAGAATAGAAGTAAGAGAAGGACTGAGAAAGATGCATAATGAGGAGTTTCATAACTTTTCTGACTATTATTAGCGTGATAAAATCAAGGCGCATGTGCTAAAGAATGTGCAGTAGTTAGGCAGAGATGAGAATTTCGTACAAAATTTTAGTCGGAAATGCTGAACGGGAAAGGTAAGCCACAAATGAGATGATGATATTAAAATGAATCTTAAGGAAACACTCCTTAGTTGATGAAATCCGAAAATTGAATTTCTTAAGCAAGGAGTAAGCCGTGGCAGTTGGCCACCGACCCCCTTTGATATTAACACATCTGTGGTTCAATGGCAGAGACAAATATAGACGTGGTTATAAATAAGCTGTTATTTGCTGATGATCACGTGTTTCGTGCAGGAATTGAGAAGGATTCACGAAAGGCTACTTAGCATTTGTTAATATAACAAGTCCTTTAGAATTATCGAATGAAGAAATGCACGGCATTTTGTGTTAAATATTTGTTTAAAACAAAGGCAAAGGTGAACACTAAAATAGAGAACAAGTTAAATTTTTTCTGAATTACTATATTCTGAGATCTGAATTAAAAAGTGTACAGTCAAAATTCCAGTGTAGTTTTTGTATAATGCTAAGAAAAACAATCACGTAAGATACAGTGTTTGAATTCTACATCTGTTACTACGTATGGCTCGGAGAACTAGTACATCAGCGAAGTGGATGGATAAAATATATATAGAAAAGTCCAAAATGATATTTTTAGGGTATTGTCAAGTGTTAGAGTGACTTTTGACGGGGTTTTGGATTGGAGAATGGATTTATTCACAACTTATAAGTTGTAACTAGAAATCACTACAACACTATCGCTAATATCCACAAATTACAAATCACACAGCATGCTCCAGGAGAAATCGCTCATTAACTCTCAAATAAAATTCCAGTACTCAGTAAAGGTAAAGTTGTCCCTGTGCTTAACTAACTAAACACTACGCCATGAAGGTGAATGGGGGAGTGGACGTATAGATCCACATTTTCTTGACCTCTACACTAGCAGCTGGAGGTGAATAGTCAGCTTCACACCCCGGCCACTTAACACCGTGGAAAGAGCCCCAAGGTACCCATTAGATAGGAGGTTGGATGGACCCCAGAGCAGGTCTGAACGACTTGAAGAAAATTATTGACCCTACCAGGACCCGAACTCCGACCCCTAGGTCGTCCATCCTATAGATAGTCGCTATACCAACTACGCTATCCAGGTTCATTGCAGTACTCAATGTTGACACTAATCTTCAAAGATTCCACAAGTACAAGTGCGAGATAGGCAATTATTATTTTTCCTTCGAAATTTGAATACAATTTATTTATCAAGTATTAGTCAGCCCTTACAAATGAAATGCATCGTAAAATATGTTTATCAAAATAGACTGTAAAGTAGACTGCGAAGTAGAATTTTTCAAGAGAAAGGAACTGACAAATATTTTTGTGATTCTGTGAATGAGAAAAATTTCGTGTATTTTTTTCAGTGAATTTATTGTTGTTTTGAAAGAATATAACAGTGCCAAGCCTTACAACGCGAAGCACAAAGTAATACAATAACTATGCCTGTGCTCTCTGAAGAAAAAAATTGATGGTTAGAGAACGGGGCTTGAACCTCAAGAGAATGACTTCAGAAAACAATTCTGCATTAAGACGAAAGTTCCTGCGCTCGTAACTTGTTAGCTATAAGTTTGTCTCGTGCAGCAACAACGCGATGAGTTGGCTTCAGTAACAGTGGCTTATATAGTCAACTGAAAGGCGGAGCAAAAGAATCAGAAGGCTCTTGTTTTTCACTGAGTGAGAGTCGCGACACAAGCGGTACTGAATATTTTGAGGTGGTCGAAAAACTCGATGGTTTTAAGGGTTTGTATGGCATAACAGTGTTTTCTTTTCTGTGTGTGTGTGTGTGTGTGTGTGTGATACCACGAGGGAACTTCGACTGCTCTGGGTGAATTAAAACAGTAACAGCAAATAAAATTGAACTAATATTATAAAGAAAACAGGTGTGTTTGGTGGAATTATGTAAGAGAAATGCACAAAAATTTCCAAAATTTACGTGAAAATTTACTGCGTCATAAATCGGCAGTCACTTTGTGGAAAAACTCTGAAGTCTCAACGTAGTGTGAATGTTATGATGTGATGATTTCCATTCGATTTGATGTACTTAATCACCGCCAGTTTTAATCTGCAGTCGGAAATTAATGTTGAGTATGAGAACCATACAGAATTCCGATGGCTGAGTGGAAGAACTGAAACATTGCTTCGCTTTGAGATTAACAAAAATTCATGAATTATAAACTTAAAATTGTGGGCGGATTTAGTGAAGGAAAGTGTTCTTTTGGATTTTCCATTCATATAATAATATTAGCAACAATTTATATCACTCATATTATACTTCAAGGTCAACATACATCCATGTATGATGTATATATCCCAAAAGAACTCTTCATTTATCGTAGTTTGGGGCCTCAGTGCTTTTGAAATGAAATTGAGAAGGTTCCTTAAACAACTTGAACCTTTTAAAATATGTGATATGCTTCGTAAGGAGAGACCATAATGATACATTGTCTGAAAATATTCAAATAATATTCAATGATTTGGTGGCTAGCATACAAATATACGCATCTTATACCGCAGAAACACTGGAGCCTGAATTGACTGAAATGCAGCACAACTCACAGTCTTGCATTGTTTCTTCAGCCAGCAAGCTTTAATTTTATTGTATCGGTTTTCTAAGTTACGTAAGGTAGCATATGTAAGCATATTTGTGTGTGAGTGTGTGTGTGTGTGTGTGTGCCTATGAACTGGCTTTCTCATATACGAAATAAAACAAATCCATTCAAGAATCACAGGTGTGCTCTTTTAAGGTTCTACCCGCATTTTCGAAAGCAGACAGAAGCATTAATTTTCTTAAGGGAGAAAAGCCGGATCATGTTTCATGCAGATAAGAAAAGTTTAGGATATTTTTATTGTAATGTCCATCTTTGTTTTGGTTACGGCAGACAAATTTGAATCCTCTGGTTCTCGTAGGACATATTATAATTCAATATGGTCCGCCTGTCTCAAATATTGATTACCCCTGGATTTGACGAAAGAAGTAATTTGTTAGCCTCAGAATCACTTAGAGATTACCTAGATTTTATTACACTATTCTAATTAATTATATTTAACCGTATAAAGTAAATATATATTTTGTTTAGACTTGCTAACTGAAACATCAAATACCTTAGCTCCTGATATGTTTTGCCAAATTTAGCAGTTTCGGGTGTCAGATTAAATGTTGGTGCTCTTAACGGAGAAGTTTAATATCTTCAGATGAGATGTTATTAGATCATGTGAAGTTCATACTCTAGAGATAGAGACTAGCTCTATCGATTGGGCCCAAATGAGTAGACTTTCACATGAGGACGGTGACAGGGTGCAGTATCCGAAACGTTGTGTTGTGTTTTAAACGTTGTGTTTTAAATAACGAAGGACAATTGATAATGTCCAAAAAGTCTGTAATCGAATTTCCTAATGTCTGTGATTAACAGTAATTCAGTGTTTTCTTCTGAGTGTTGCAGTTACACTTAATGTTCTATTTGATTCAATCCTGTGTTCAAATTCGCTTAACCTTTCAGGGAGGAAGCGCTGGTACTACGATGAGGATTGGAGGGAGTAGGATGCCGTTCTGGAAGGTCATTGGATGTCTGTTAACATTCTCGGTAAGTAGAGCTGATGCGTCTATGCGCCACCTTACATATCATTATGCTGAGCCTTAAATGCATGTTATATTTGGGATGGAAATTTTATGTCTCTTTTATACTGACGTGAAATTTACTTATTGTCGCTAAGGACAGAAGATGGGCCGCGCCATAGCTCAAGCGGTTAGTCGCTGGCTTCCTACCGTGGCGGCCCGGGTTCGATCCCGGGTCTTGTCAAGTGGGATTTGTGGTGGACAAAGTAACACTGGGGCGGTTTTTCTCCGAGTACTTCGGTTTCCCCTGCCAGTCTTCATTCCACCAAATTTCCCATTATCATAATCACCCGGGGCAGGCTACAGTAGGCCAATCAGTGGCCGCCGTGGCGAGTGGACCCAGTTGGACTCCACCCCCCACTAAACGAATTTAAGAAAAAGAAATTATTTTACAAAGTATACTACATTCTTCTACACAATTTAAGTGTTTATGACAAACCGAAGACTGAGAGGCGTTATTTCCATGTGCTCGCCTTATGACGTTCTCAATTATATACTTTGTATCCATGGAGCTTCAAGACCATAACAGGCTGTCTGTTTTGTGTGTTACCGGCATAACACTCTTGTCAGATCAATAAGTATTGTTCATGAGAACAGAAAACCGTCTGTTATTGTGGATTATCCTGAGAACTTCTCACAACAATTTTAAGCTGGGGCACCGAGTTCTCAGAATCCAGGCATGATATCACAACATAAAATTCTTAAAAAATGAAGGCGGTCTAAATGGACATTTTTTTTCACTAAAATTCCTTCAGGTTTCAGAACAGAGACTACTCTTTACACATCTACCTACCCGAATAATGACCATTTACTGCAACCAACGCGCGTAGCGTTTTACCAGCTCAGCCTCTTGACATAATCTCACGCGCCGTCATTATGATTTTGTTGTAATGAGAGGTGCTGTATGTTCCTTAAACGAAACACTTTCGCATTCATTCTATGACTTGTAATAGTGGAGAAGAGTTTTGTTAAAATAAAATCGGGTCACTTTCTACCCGCATGAAAGCAAGTATGAATGTTAGCGTGGTCATAGAGGCAAGGTTATACGCATCCTTAATATCACCGTTACATGTTAAGTGATAATCAGCTTCACGCTCCTGATGCTTAACTCCCTTATCCATTGCATAAGAAGTTGAATGGTCCCAGAGCAGTTCTGGAGGTGTTGGCAAACGAAAGAGTACCTTCCCTTAGAAGTAATTGAACCTGAGCCTTGTAGCCTGCACCCGGCCACTTTACTTAAATCACGAGCTGGTATGTATTTCTTATTCAAAATGTGTGGTGGTAGACACGCCTTCAGCAATTTCTGTAATAGGGATTTTTATAATTCACATTGAGGAAAACACAAAATCGTTATCATCTAAAGTGAAAAGCAGAACTGGAATGTCCACACATCTTGAAGTACCCATACAGCAGAATTTGGGATATGACGACCACTATCTAGAACATCAGTAGGCCCCATGACGAAAATAAGTTGCTCTACACCGTACACACTTTCTTTTCCTTGGCACTACAGCCCCAATGGGCCTAGGCCTACCTCCATGAACTTCTCCATTCACTTCGGTTTTTCTAGAACTTACACAATCGGTAGGACTCCTTGGGTGGGTGATCAGCTCCTAGCAAGGCTTCTACCTGTACACAAATACAGAAAAACGCACACACACAAACTAAACATCCATGCCCTGAGTGGGATTCGAACCCACGATCCAGGTTTCCAAGCGAGCGAAGACAGTGCACGCCTTAGACCGCTCGGCTACCGTGACCGGCACCGTACCTATTTAGGATGATCAAATAAAGGAGAATAGAGCGAAGGGGACATATAACATGCTTGAAAGGAAAGGGGAAAGCATATAGATTCATTTTTGCAATATCTCAAGGGAAGAGGCCACATAGGAGATCTAGGCTTAGATGGGAGGATATTATTAAAATGGACCTTAGGCAAATACCCAAGTCCACATACCCAAGGAAGATTTTTAACAATACACTTCGGTGTATTTGAGCCTCCTTCCGTCCTAGCTTATTACTCTTATTCGAAACTCGGCGGAGGTTGGAAGGGCAGTAACGGTCCTTTTTTTTAATTGTCTTCAAAACCATAAATGTATGCTTACAGATTTTCTTTTTTTTTTTCCTTTTAACACCGATCACAGTTCAGCAAGTTACACTCGAGATATTCACACAGACGCACAGAAGTCTTCGTGTAAAGTGATGTAAGCAAAATCACACAGAATTGACTAATTTTAGTAAAATTTCTCAACGTAAATTTTCGTGAAAATTTTTCAGCTATCCTCAGGTTTCTATATGCAGGCAAGCAGACGGACAGAGAGACAGAAAGACAGACAGACATGGCGAAGGGAACGTACTACGAACGGAAAACATGAGCTACAATGTTGTTACTTTTGTTACTTTGCTTCTCAACTTTCTCTTTCTCTTCATATTGCCGCGTGTCTGGGGTTCCGTGACTAATAACAACGGGTTCTGGAAAGGATCATTGGGTTTATTGACGCCTTCTGTTATAATCACTCTTAACTACGTACTCGTACAATCAGTTATACCGCCTCACAGTGGATGACTGCCTAAGACCCACTTAATTTTTTACTTAGCTACGAGTGCCTTCTCTTCTGCTGTCACTGACATGTTTCTGAATTTCGAGTCAGTCACTTCTAGTTTACGAATGAATTACAAATGTCGAATGACCACTCAGTTACGAATCACTAAGGACGAATGACGAATGAAGAATCGAAGTCAAAGTCAAAATTATGTTATGACCGACGGTCAGTCGGCCAGTCTGTCTTGGAATGAAGCACCCATCTGGGGCTGAAGACCAGATCTTTATTACTGTCAGACATTTGCAGGCTTGTTGATGTGGGGCGCCCTCTCTGACGAGAGGACGGGTCTGTCTTTTGCCAGAGTCACAGTCAGCAGTAATAAGTCTGTTGTCAGTATGTACAATTTACAGTTTTCCTGTTATTAAGTGAATATACAGTACAATACATACACGGCGACTGAAAAATCAAGTCAAAGTCAAATTGCGACTGACAATCGGTCAGTCAGTCATTAAGTCTTGGTGTGGAGCCCATCTGGAGCTCATGACCAGATATTTATTATAGATTGACAGTTAAGGTCTTGTTTTTATGAGTCGCCCTCTCTGACGAGAGGACGGGTCTGTCTTTTGTATATGCTGCCAGCGTAGTCCTTCTCGGGTCCGAGTCCCTTGGGACTGGCGACCATATTTTACTGCCTCAGATTTGAAACTTCCCTTTTCGTTGCCTCCCACGACTCGCGGGGTCACCGCCTCCACACGGGGTGAATAAAAAATGAAAAATCAATTACATGTCCTCCTTTTATAACATCGGGATGGACCGAACATACGTCACCACCCCATCAGCTCCTCTACGTGTTATTCTGTGTTTGTCCGTTGCTGAGTGTGTTAATTTCGTAGCAACGGTATGGTTTTCGTATCCATGGAAATTGTGTTCCGTAACCAGGTGGTTTCCAAGAATCAATCTCTCCGCGACAAAGGATTTGCCATTTCGTTTCCTAGAAACGCCCGCATGTCACAATATACTGTTCCACGCCAGTCGGAATTATGAAAAAATCCTAGTGTTACTTGAAAGTAAATCTCATTAATTCTTGTGTTACGTTTCGAAGAAAACAGCCCATGCGTCAATACAACTCGCCTTACACAGGTGCAGCATCTTCTGACTAAGTAAGTGATTCATCTTCATCAATCAAAACTGTTTTATGTACACCGCAGAGCCTATTAGTGTACAGAGCAAGCCATGTACACGTACCCAAACAAACCAAGAAGACTAGCGTGAGGGCAGGTGTGCTGCTAATATGCTTGCTGCAGTACGATGTATACTACAATACTTTTTATATTTACTTAATTATTTGCATACTAATTCATTTTCATAGGATCACATGTCATCATCAGCTGTACGCAAATTATTACACTCTAACTGATAGCCATTACAAATTTTCAATGCATTTATTGCCAGAAATGTTAATGTTCCTTGACTGCTGCAATAATTGACTTTCAATTGGGCAAATATAACAGAAGAGTTACACACAGCTGGACAAACAGAATAGCTGTTTCAGCATCAAAAGATTCAGATGATGTTCAGACAGGAGAGATAACCTTGAATAGGTCGGTATTCTGTATACGTCTTGACTGAATTTTAATCTGAGCTGAAATCCTGTATTTAAAATTCCTGAAGGGGTCGTTTAATTTGTTCAAATTTTCCAAGGTAAATTAAATTCTGGAACGCCTTGTACCATTCAGTTAAAACTATTCTCTTTTCCTCTCTGCTACTCATATAGAACTTGGAGGAACTAAGACGATAAGACAAGATATTCAAGAAGGCCCAAAATGAGAATCCAATTATTATATTAGTCAAATTATTGTGAATTCCAGGAACTTCAGTGCAAAAGTAAAATAAATTTCAATTTTCAGTCTTCGCAGATAAATTTTCAGTACTGTAGTGGCTGATGAAAATAAGTTATAGTAAGTCGATTTTTCTCATTCCGTTTTAAACAGTTCTTTAACTTTCCGCCTCCGATATTTTCCTCCTATTAGGAATATTTAAAAGAAATATCGTTCTTATTCTTCCGACCAGATGGTAGTCCATCAAAGACAGCTTCCGTTATATATCATTTTCGTTTCAGGCAGGTTTAATGGCCCTACTTTGGACTTTGTTCAACTAAAATCATTCAGGGAGCATTTGGTTCCGTCGCTAATCTTATGTGATCCTTCGTCCTGGAACTCGTAAATAAGTATTTGATTTGCGCCTTCACAAAATACGTCTTCATACGTTTATTCTGAATAAACAATATACCAGATATACTTTATGCCGACCAACACTCCTTCACTGAAACTAACCTCCTTAAGTTTGTTTTTTCAAAGTATGTTCAAGTATTCAGTTTATGAAGTCACACAGTGTATATTAATATTAGCTAACGAACACGATCTTG